CATCATCAGCATCAACATCAGCATCATCAGCATCAGCATCATCATCAGCATCAGCATCATCATCAGCATCAACATCATCAACACCACCACCAACATAATCATCATCATCAGCAGCAGCAGCAGCCGCAGCATCACCATCATCATCGTCGTCATCATCATCGTCATCATCATCAGCAGCAGCAGTATCATCATAATGATAATCATCATCCTCATCATCAGCATCATCAGCATCATCACCAGCACCACCGTCATCATCATCAGCAGCATCAGCATCAGCATCACAATCGTCAGCATCATCAGCAGCATCATCAGCAGCAGCGTCAGCAGCATCATAACCAACATCATCATCAGCAGCATCATCATCATCAGCATCATCATCATCATCAGCATCATCATCATCCGCATCCTCATCAGCATCATCAGCATCATCAGCATCCTCAGCATCATCAGCAGCCACATCAGCCTCATCGGCATCATCAGCATCATCATTATCATCATCGTGATCGTCATCAGCGTCATCAATATCAGCATCACCAGCATCATCATCACCACCATCATCATCATCGTCATCATCATCATCATCAGCAGCAGCAGCATCATCATCAGCATCCCTCCTCCGCATCCTCCTCCTACGCCTCCTCCTCCTCCTCCTCATCCTCCTCCTCCTCCTCCTCCGCCTCCTCCGCCTCCTCTTCCTCCTCCGCCTCCTCTTCCTCCTCCGCCTCCGCCTCCTCCGCCTCCTCCTCCGCATCCTCCTCAGCCTCCTCCTCCTCCCCCATCCCCCTCCTCCTCCTCCTCCTCCTCCTCATCCTCCTCCTCCTCCTCCTCCCTCATCCTCCTGTCCTCTGTCCCTCCCCCCCCCCTCCTCCTCCTCCTCCTCCTCCTCCTCCTCCTCCTCCTCCTCCTCCTCCGCCTCCTCCTCCTCCTCCTCCCCTCCTCCGCCTCCTCCTCCTCCTCCTCCTCCTCCTCCGCCTCCTCCTCCTTCTCCCACCTCCTCCTCCTCCTCACTCCTCCTCCTCCCGCCACCACCTCCACCTCTCTCCTACCTCCTCCTCCTCCTCCTCCTCTCCTCCTCCTCCTCTCATCTCCTCTCCTCCTCCTCCTCCTCCGCCGCCTCCTCCTCCTCCTCCCCCCTCCCCCTCCCACTGTCCCCCCTCCCCCATTGTCCTCTCCTCCTCCTCCTCCTCCTCCTCCCCTCCACCTTCCTCCTCCTCCTCCTCCTCCTTCCTCCCCTCCTCCTCCTCCTCCTTTCCTCCGCCTCCTCCTTCCGCCTCCTTCACATCTCTGCATCCTCCTCCTCCTCCTCCTCTCCTCCTCCTCCTCCTCCTCATCATCATCATCATCATCATCACTCATATCATCATCATCATCATCATCATCATCATAATCATCATCATCATCATCATCATCATCATCATCAACATATCATCATCATCATCATCATCATCTCATCATCATCATCATCATCATCGTCATCGTCATCGTCATCGTCAATCGTCATCGTCATCGTCATCGTCATCATCATCTTCATCATCATCATCATCATCATCATAATCAATCATCATCACCATCACCAACACCATCACCATCACCATCATCATCATCATCATCATCATCATCATCATCATCATCATCATCATCATCATCATCATCATCATCATCATCATCATCATCATCATACGCATCATCATCATCATCATCATCATCATCATCATCATCATCATCATCATCATCATCATCATCATCATCGTCATCAGCATCAGCATCAGCATCATCATCATCGCGATCAGCATCATCATCATCATCATCATCAGCATCATCATCAGCATCTTCATTTTCATCAGTATCAGCACCAGCATCAGCATCATCATCATCATCACCATCATCATCGTCGTCATCATCATCATCAGCATCATCATCAGTGTCATCATCATCATCATCATCATCATCATCATCATCATCATCGCCATCATCATCATCATCATCATCATCATCATCAACAGCCTCACCATCAACATCATCATCATCATCAGCAGCATCAGCATCATCAGCAGCATCATCAGCATCATCATCATCATCGTCTTCATCATCCCCATCATCCGCATCATCATCATCAGCAGCAACATCAGCATAGTCACCATCGTCATCATCATCAGTATCATCATCAGCAGCATCATCATCAGCGTCGTCATCAGCATAAGCATCAGCATAAGCATCAGCATCATCATCATGGGCAGCATCATCAACATCATCAACCTCAACATCAGCATAATCATCGTCATCGTCATCATCACCAGCATCATCATTAGCAGCATCATCAGCAGCATCAGCATCAGCATCATCAGCAGCATCAGCATACACATCATCATCATCAACATCATCATCAGCATTAGCATTAGCATCATCATCATAATCAACATCGTCATCATCATCAGCAGCATCAGCATCATACATCGCATCATCATCATCATAATCACCCTCATCACCATCACCAGCATCATCATCATCAGCATCAACGTCAGCATCCTCAGCATCAACATCAGCATCATCATCAGCGTCAGCATCATCATCAGCATCAGCATCATCGACACCACCACCACCAGCACTATCAGCATCTTCATCGTCATCATCATCATCATCATCATCATCATCATCAGCATCATCATCATCATCGTCATCGTCATCAGCATCGCCATCGTCATCATCATCATCCCTATCAGAGGCAGCAGCAGTATAATCATCACAGAAATAAGCATCATCATCATCAGAATCATCAGCATCCACCACCACCACCACCACCATCATCATCATAATCATCAGCGTCAGCATCATCATCATCAGCATCAGCATCAGCATCACCATCATCATCATCAGCAGCATCAGCATCATCATCATCAGCAGCATCAGCATCATCATCATAAGCATCATCATCAGCATCATCCTCATCAGCATCAGCATCATCATCACCAGCATCATCACCATCATCAGCAGCCACATCAGCCTCATCATCATCAGCGTCATCATCGCCATCAGCATCATCAACCTCAACATGATCATCATCATCATCATCATCATCATCATCATCATCAGCATCATCATCATCATCAGTATCAGCATCATCATCATCATCCTCATCATCATCATCATCATCGTCGCCGTCATCATCATCATCAGCAGCAGCAGCATCATCAGCATCCCTCATCATCCTCCTCCTCCGCCTCATCATCATCATCATCCTCATCCTCATCCTCCTCCTCCTCTTCCTCCTCCTCCTCCGCCTCCAACGCCTCCTCCTCCTCCTCCTCCGCCTCCGCGTCCTCCTCCTTCTCCGCCTCCGCCTCCTCCGCCTCCTCCGCCTCCGCCTCCTCATCCTCCTCCCCCTCCCCCATCTCC